TGCATTGTGTTTCAGACTGAATGATAGTTAAGTGTACAGTACACGATTCCTTTTAAAAGTAGATTCAGAGTTACTGTTTTGAGAGTTTTGACTCTGTTTTCTGATAGTTTTATTGCCCTTTGAGTGTTCTGGTAAGTTTTCAGTAATGCAGAATTAAATTAAATTAAAATTAATCTTAATTGGTTAACATCATACCTGTTTTGCACAACTTAGATTAGAAACCCTTTAAAGAAATTTTCAAAATAAAAAATATTTACAAAAAAATTCAGTGTACCTTTCTGCTGATAACAATACAATGAAATTAAAAGCATAATTAGTTGACCTTTGAAGATATTTTGCATGGCAGCACTGATTTGTGCAAAAGAAAAACCATTTAATCCGAGCACACAGTGTTCAGTGATACACTCCAAATAATGCACAGCATCCATTTTCACCATTTTCACTGTCCCCCAATCACTCTTTGAGGTCTGCTTACTGAAAGTGACACATTAGCTAGCAAGTCTGGATCTTGACAAAAAAAGATGCTGTCAGACATCGCAGCCAAGACACACACATTTCCAGCACATATAAACTCTCCACACACGGAAAAACAAACTATTGTGCTCTTGCTTTCATTCTTTTTCTCTCTCAAGGCCTTTTCATTCTTCACGAGTCACCAACACACACATACGCTGGTTAAGACTCACACATACACACACACACACACACTCTCTCAGCTTCTTCCTCTCAATCTAGCCCTGTCAACAGCACTAGAGCCTGATACGCGTCCAGGGACAGAGGAAATGAGCGATGTCAACCAGTATTATAATGCAGCAGAGCCGACCACATGAGAGGGGAAAACATCTACTGTGTTTTGTGCTCGTGGGAAATCAATCTCAACTCTTAATACGATGTTTTCAGGCTTGTGCTCATGTCTCAAAGAGGCCTAGAGAAGAATTACCTGTGTGTGTGTGTGTGTGTGTGTGTGTGTGTGTACCTGTGCATGTGCGCATGTAGCTGTAATCCTACCACGTCTATGATGAAACCCATGCTCTGACTTGTCTGTAGGGTTATTTTCCTTCTACTGACACAAGGTTGACGAGCTGATGAAAGACCGAGACTGCATGGAAGCGTCCAATTATCCTGCTTAAGACAGTCTTATGCATACACAGCCCGTATTGTTCTCACCTGTTATTCAGCGAAAAGGCATGCATAAGATGATATTGCACAGCTAGAAGCATGACTCTGATCTCTCACCAGCCTTTATTTCTGCATTTTCAGGACAATGCACTAAAAAGCACTAATTTACTATCCGCTTCATGTACCTGAGTGATTGGAATCATTTGCATCATTGCCTCTTAACCACCTTTGTTATATGCTAAGATGATAGCGTCTGCAATTAACTGAGCGTGGTTAATAAAAAAAAAGAAGAAGAAGACATTAAAGGAATGAAAAAGGGTGTGGGGGTTGTTTCCATGCAGCCATTTAAAATGTGATAAATGTCACCACCGGGGCAAATTTTGCAACTTTAAGTTTTTTCAGCTCATGATTGGCTCCACAGTATTTAAGATTTGCGAAAACTTTTGGCACTATCCCTGAAGAATCAACTACCCAAAACAAAAAGCAGAACGCTCTTGAAGCTGGAATGAACTGCAGTAAAGTGCTCTCAGTGGGATTGCTGCTGACATAACAGGAAGTCATTGTTTCAGTGATTTAAGCAGCACTTTTTTATAATTATACATTGTAAAGACTGAGAAAGACAACCTGGTCCTAAAACGTATGTGCACTCACTGGCCACTGTGTTAGGTAGACTGTAGTATTGAGTTGGACCCCTTTTTGCCTTTAGAGCTGCTTTAATTGTTCATGGCACAGATTCAGCAAGGTGCTGGAAACATTCCTCAGAGATTTTGGTCCATATTGACATGATAGCATCACACAGTTGCTGCAGATTTGTCAGCTGCACTTCCATAATGAGACTCTCCCATTACACCACATCCCTAAGGTGCTCTATTGGATTAAGATCTGGTGACTGTGGAGGCCATTTGAGTACAGGGAACTCGCTGTCATGTTCAAGAAACCAGTTTTAGATGATTTGAGCTTTGTGACACGGTGTGTTATCCTGCTCGAAACAGCCTGTAGAAGATGGGTACACTGTGGTCGTGGACATGGTCGGTAACAAAGCTCAGGTAGACTTAAAAATATGCTAGGTTGGTAGATCGTTGTTGCAGCAGATATTTAGACTCGTCAGATCATTGGCTGACCGAAATGGCACTGTGTGCTCTTACAGATTTGCTTCAGGGACAGATTTACTGTGCCTTCAGAGATGCTCTTCTGCATAACTCTGTAGCAGTCCGCAGTTATTTAAGTTACTGTTGCCTTGTTATCAGCTTGAAGCAGTCTGGCCATTCTTCTCTGATCTCTGGCATCAACGGGGCATTTTCACCCAGACATCTGATTACTGCATATTTTCTCTTTTTAAGACAATTCTCCGTAAACACGAAAGATGGTTGTGTGGAAACATCTCAGAAGATCTAAGTACTCAGCCTAGCCCATCTGGTACCAACAACCATGACCATGTCTACATGCCTGAATGTGTTAAATTGCTGCCATGTGATTGTCTGATTAGATCATTGCATTAACAAGAAGTGTATCAATAAAGTAGCTGTTGAGTGTATATGTAATTATATGATCTTGTATGTATTTTACTGGTTGCTATACATGTTTCTTCTATACTGGCCATAAAGAAGAAATTGCTTAGAAAGCAGTTTTGGTACTGTATGAGATTTGTGTCAAAAAAACTGAACTACAAAGAGGCTATGGCACTCTGCCTTAGACACATCAGATGGTTTCTTACCAAATTACCGTTGTTTTAGCACAAAAATGTGGAGACTGTTTTCACCGCTGGCTGGGCTGCAGTAGAACAATAGCGGTACAAAGGGACGAATTTGGTAACTTTGCTAGAATCGCAGAGTCATCAGATAAACTTCAGAGCAAATATTAACACAGCATAAAGACTTGAGGTAATACTCCTCTTTAGTTGAATTACAACTAAATTGCTTGTTATACTTTGTCCTAAATTTGACTTTCACAATACATTTTTAGGTATTTCAGATGGAATTGAAAGCGTATGAGATTTAAATGTACTGTATGTTAAAGGTGTGAGCTGTACTTTAGTAGCCAGTTTTCTGTGTTGATTGTAAAAACAATTATTATTGTGTAGGATTGAATTAGATTTCACAGTTGTGCTTAATAAAGTGGCCACTACACTAGTGCATAGTCTGTACCTGTAGGCTCTTGCAAATGCAGCTGCTATTTACTGCTACAGTCTATGTGAGAAGAAAAATAAAAAAGAAGATATTGTTTGTTTTGGCACTCAGTATGGGTACAGAAAATTAGCAGCAATGTGATGAGGGTTTACTGTCACAGACAAACCTCCTGGACTATTTTCACGGGCCTAATTAGAAACTAATAACGCCTCCATTCTGCTGCCAAAACAAACCCTTTTGCTGTGAAAGGGATGGGCTCCGTGTCTGACTCACGCTACCCCACCTCTGCTTTGTTTTCGGTTAATTCATGTTAATGCTGCATCTTGTGCTTTTCAGAAATTTGAGTTGTGTGAAAGAGGAAGCTTATTCTCCTGAGACTTTCATTTTAACAAGATAATAGAGCCATCTCTGCGTCTGCATTTTTCACTTTTTGTGTCACTTTGTTTTTTTCCACCAAGCTCCTAGATTGCTGCTTTTTATTGCATACATGAATTCCCTCTGTTACCTTCCTGCTCTGGAGGAATACACTTCATATTAGCCTTCTTTTCTTGACTTCATCATTAAATGCTGCAGAAGCGTACCTAAAAAAGCTTTCAAACTGACAAAAAGAAAACAGCTACTGCTGATAAAGTACCTAATGGTAGTCTCCCATTTTGGCCCCCTTAATGGGGCACTTACCGGCTTAGTCACTCATTTTCTTCATGCAGAAATTTGCAAATTTGTTTTCATCCAGTCAAAATGACCCAAGTTACTACAGGAGCTGCTACTTCTGCCCCTCATATTTCCTAGTATCTTTGCTCTTGTCAATTAACCTCATAGAGCTCTGTTGCGCATTAGGATTAAAACATCTGTTGCTGACAGAGGGGAGTCATGTGGTCTGCCATTTGTACCTCCACCCTCTTTCTACCTGGATAAATACTGTTGGGCGTGGCAAGTTACTCCTGACTTGCATCAGTGTCCTAGCAGGAGATGTAGTAAACAGCCCCCCCCGAGGAGCTCTGTTTCAGAAAAAAGGCTGCATGAAAGTCAAAATCAGTGGAGACTCGGACTGGAAATAACCCCAGCATTTAAGAATACAACTTACTGTGGTGGGGTGCTTGTTTTGGGCGTCAGTGAGACATGAAATATAATTTTAAAAATGCATTTTTTTCACATTAAAAAGAAATGTACAAAGTTTACATATGCAGTAAGGCGACCATCTAACACAGGTCAGCACTTGTTGGTTACAAGTGTTGATTCTGATTCACTTTGTTTCTGGAGCCTTGTGTTCATATCAGTGCAGCTACCGTTTAATTTGTGCTGAAGTCAGCTTGAACTACAGTTGTGAATAATGCTGTAATGACGGACAGAGCTACGCATGAAACAAAGGAGATGCAATGATGTGTCGTGTAAACACAAGCTTCTTTACTGTTGTTCTGAGCAGCCAGAACAGTCAGACACAAGGAAAAATACAGCTTTGCCTAAAGTAAGGGCTGAGACTTGATAATGTTTCAAATGGGGATAATAGTGCACACTTTGAGGCAATCTTTTCTTGAAGGCACTCATGTTGCTTGTCCACCAAGAAATAGCTGTATGAAAAACATAAAAAGAGAGCTTGCTAGAGTTCTAATGTTAGGAAGGTTTGGGGGTCTGTGGGATTTTATCTCCTCGCTGCCTGCCAGTAACAGCTTTAATTACTCCTCTTGCATCCTCATACTGATCACATAGCTGAAATGCTTTTCAAACACCGCTTATCCCCATTTCTCTCCTACTTAGGACCATCTTCGGTGATCAGCAATGACGATGACTCTGCTTCTCCTCTTCACCACGTCTCCAATGGCAGCAACACTCCTTCGTCCTCAGAGATGGGCCCTGACGCAGTAATCATCGGCATGACCAAGATCCCAGTGATCGAAAACCCTCAATACTTCAGAAGCACAAACAGCCTGCTCAAGACTGACACGTGTAAGTAAAAGAAAAATCTGACATATCTTTAACGTGGACCCGGATTAACTCTGATTTAGAATCAAACTTTTATCAGTTGATTACAAGCTGCCATATACATCCTTCCTCGCTGTCATGTCAGTGACCTTGGAGCTACTGCTGATAAAATCTGAGGGAAGAATGGGAAATAGAAAGTCTAATTATATGCATGTTTGTGTGTGGCTGTGCCCCAGCATACGTTAGGGACACATTCATAAATTCAAGACTT